CCATATTTGCCTATATTTAACTGTAAAGAAGTTGAACCGAGACTTCGTTCGACAAAGAATATGACTTAGAGAAGACCTGTTGCTGCTTAGCTCATACGTCGAAGAAGTCAAGTAAAGGCTATTATTGGGAAAGTATACTATTCCTTCGAGAATTTCAAATAGGAGAATGAGGTTAAGTCGGTGGCGCCTGAACCAAAGGGGTTCGATCTTAAGAGTTGTGCAACGATAGTTGTGGGGAACTTTCAGACTTATTCCTAAGATTCTACTTGTAAATCTCCTTTGCACACTTTCAATCTACATTTTGTCGTTAACAGAGGTGCTGTCTAGGATAAATGGGTAGCACTCAAGGAGGGGTCGTGTGTGCGTTTTATAAGGTAGCACCTTAGATTCTTGGGTTTGAAAGTTATCAAATATGAATCCAAGTAATCTTCTGGCTTCAGAAACTTGGTTGGCAACATAGAGAGATAATTTGAAATCAGCAGAGTAACGGGGCCCGAAGCCAAGTATGGAAGGAAAGATAGTGATTTGCTTGAAGTATATAGTTATATATGGTGTGATACGAAGGCGAGCTCAGCATAACAGAACACACTTCTCCACGTTGATCTGCCCCATCCAGGACTTACACCAATCTCAACATTACCAATATCCGATCGAATTTTATGAGACAGATTTGTCACTTCTTGGGTGGTACTGTGGTAGACCACCTTCAAGTCATCGGCATATAAGAGGGGTCTGCCATGCTTGTTAACATCACAGACGTAATTCAGGTATATAAGAAAGAAGAGAGGCCCTAGTACACTACCTTGAATTACGCCGCGTGATATAGGAGTGGTACTGGAAAAAGTATCGTTAATCCTAATATACTGGCACCGACCACACACAAATGAATTACACCACTGTAAGAGATTGCCAGATATACAGTAAGCCTTAGATTTTTTCAGGAGTAAACTATGACATACTTTATCGAATGCCTTCTCAAGATCAATATACATAATGAGCACAACGAATTTTTGGTCTGTAAGTCCAGTTATAAAATCAAATAGTTCCAGGTGGCAAGTCACACATGACCTGGACTTTATAAAACCATGCTGAGGTGTTATGAGGTTTTCAGTCAATAAGAAGTCAGTGATTTTGGTACTGATTATCTTCTCAAGTATCCTTGACAAGACAGATGTTTTGTTGGTCAGCCTGTAATTCTTTACATCATATTTTGAGCCGGATTTAAATCTAGGAATAATATATGTCTGCTTCCATTTGGAAGGATAAACTCCGTTCAAAAGGGAAGTTGAGAATATTTAAAGCAAAAGAAGAGGAAGATCGGAGACACCATTTTTTAAAGAGGATGAGGGAATTGTGTCAGGTCCAGGAGTACTGAAGAATTTCAATGAACGCACTGCATTTTTATAACATCAACAGTCAAGCATATATTTTTTAGATCATGGAAAATTCCCATCGTAACATATAGAAAATCAAAATAAATGATTCAGCGAAGAGACTCTTTTCAACGAATTTATCATCAAGCTGTACAATCGTATATATATGGTTTATATATATTTGGCAGTGTTTTGCCTGTTACAGAGTCAAATTCAATGCATACAGAAAGATCGTGCGTGTATGAGTCAGAAAAGTGCTTGTTAAAGAGTTCAGCTATGCCTGCATCATCCTTAACAGCAACATTATTATGAAAAATGTAAGGAATGTTACCTTGTTTTTGTTGCAGTCTTTTTTGGAAGAGTTTACATAGAGAGCTAATTTTGCAGCTGCTTTTAAGGGCGACAAGTTCTTCTGTGTAAACTTTACTGGCATTGTCTGATCTGATTTTATTGTGTACCTTTAGGATGCTAATGAGCGAGGGGAAGTCCATAGGTTTATTAAAAGTTTTACGGAGTCTTCTTAGCTTGTTCCTGGTAGCAATCGGTATATATAGTTGATTTACACGGTTGCCTTTGGATGTATACCAAGGGATAGATTCGTTGAAGCAAACTGAAATGTTGGAGTAGAAACTGTCAAGAACAGTATCAATGTCTATCGAGGAGAAAAAGGTATCCCAGTCTTGGCAACGAATAAAAGACCGCGTTGTTTCCCACTTAGCCTTTGAAAAGTCTCTGACTTTTACTGTCTGGTGACGGCAGTTGCCTAACCCATATGCCGCTAGGTTAAAGGTGGAAATGACCGTGTTGTGGTCGCTACCAGGGAATAAAGGCCCAACTCGACTGCTGCCGGGGAGAATATTGTGTGTGAAGATAAGGTCCAGGGTGTTTGATTTACGTGTCGGGTGATTACAATTTTCTGTCCATCCATAGAATTCAACCTAGCTTACAAGGCGATCAGAGTATGTAGGAACATTTAGGGTATTCCACTGGATACCAGGCATGTTAAAATCGCCATCTATAATTTTATAGTCAAAATTTAAAGAGGAGACGTGTTCGAAAATTTCACATAAATGGTTCGTTGTGTTAGTATCAGAGTTGGGCGGGTGGAATATGCATCCCAATAAAAGTCTTGTATTTAAGCTAATGTATCAAGCAGACGCAAGACATTTTGAAAAACTGGGCAAGGGTTAATAAAACGTTTTCGACACTGAAAAGTGCGGTGACACTACTGGGTGCCTCAAGGACACAGAGACTAACTTGGTCTCTCTGTGGCAATAAAGCGTCCTACTGGGAGTCGGAGAGCAGTCTACATCTCATTGTAACGGAAATAATAGATAGAAGTGAGAACTCTTTGGGTGATGTGGTTACAGCATGTTCTATTGCATAATTCACACTTAGGCGTTAAGTTGCACTGACGACTGAAAATTCTCCTAGTCCGTAGAAGACCGACGTATGAAAGCAGTTGGAGGCGCATAGTTTCGCTGATTTGACATTGAATAATATAGACGATAACATGCTGGAAAATTTTCAGACAAAGGCAATAAGAGAAACTGTGGGCCAGCGTAGCAAAACATATCAGGGGGAGTCGCGAAAATCAAGCCCTCTCACACTTATCTGCTGACGGCTTGAGAGTGACCTTTTTACCAGCGTAAAGGAAAACAAGTGAACAGAATCACACATGAATAGGTACCCTGCCGTTTTTCATTTTTGGACTTGTTATGAAAACTCAAGAATGATGACTCCGCAGAAGCCATGGACTCTGGTTGTGTTCCCGTTTCCACACGCCCAGAGTTCGCTATCCCCGTAACTCCCTATCAGCAAGGATGGTCGATATATTACAATTGTGAAGCTCTAAATAGGCGATTGGTAATGATATCGAAGCACATGAATGTGTGGCCAACAGTCTGTCTTCTTGTGGAAAGTAAAGCGTAACTACCTGTCGCTCTCAACAGGTGAAATTGGGGTCTTTCTTATAACTGTGATTCCATTGGGCAAACTGAAATCTAGTGTCCTATATATCTGTAGCTTCAGCTCTTAAACTTTTAAGGTCATTATCCATACACACAGACAGTAGGACTTTTAAATATTTTTCATAGAAAGAGTTTTTGTGGGTGTTTTGCTTCCCCTAGAGACAACCTTCATACCATCAGTGTGCTCCCTTCTTAGGTAAGTGTGAGGAACTATGAGAACAGGAAGTTTGACACTTCATTTAATCAAAACGTCAGCAGCGAACACTAACTGTCGATAAAAAGAAGCAATGTGGTGCAGGGCAGTGATAAGATTAACCAGTAGAATATAAAGGGACGCTTATTGGCATGAAAATATCAAACAGGGGAGAGATAGATTTGACGTAAAAGACAACGAATGAACCAGCGTCACGGCATAACATAGGAAACACGCAAAGAAGACAAAGAAACACAATATGAGGGGGACAGAAGTAGAGGGCACAACATAGAAGATCTGTGCAAATGACAATTTTCAGACAAGGTGTACATAATTTCGCTACATAGAGATACTAAAATCCAAATAAATATTCCCCAACAAGTCTATTGTCTTCAACCGGTAAAGTGTCATCCTGATCTTAACCGCTATGCCACCGACGCACGCTTTGTGTCCTAGAGCATCACTTTTATTTTTGAAAAATATTCGCAGGAAATACTCAGTGGTTTCTTTCTTAGTTTTCACTGCAAAGGGTCATGAAATTAGAAGTATTCATGGAGGAATCTCCGTTTCGTATAACAAGAGTTCCTAGGCAATAAGGCATCTTTAAGTGTGAACTTCTTCCGGTCGAAATCACTGCTTCCGAATTGGGGAGTAATTTGATAGGTCAAATTACCTTTGTCTGCTCTATGAGTTCCATGCGACAGGCTTAAGGCAATATAACTCTCAATGGATAATGAAAATGCGACTTGCGAGGAAATTTCTTAAATGTTGAAATTCCGGCAGTTGGATAGTTTAACCCTAAAAGTCTGTCTATGAGTAATTAGAAATGAAGAGTAGTAACGATAATTGGCAAGCAGCATTCATTTTACTAGGGGACAGTGAGGACCATCATTTCACGTTCCTGTATCTATTTCGCATCTAAATTAACCACATTACTCTTCTCCGAGTTTCCATGCTCTATCCTCTGACACTGACCTTGTTTAATATATATTCTTCCCTATTATGGCAAGTTACTTAACTAGCTACGTTTATATGCCTATATTGACCAGTTGTCAGTATTAGTAATTTGCAAACACTAAAGATATTAAAAACTTAGTAAAGAAATTTGTGTATATATTCAAACATAGTATTTAGTAGGTCTTTCTCCGAAGCTCATTGAATATCTAACTGCTTTTAACACCTTCCAGCCCAAGTAAAATGTTTGAGGCCCTGGAGAGAATTTTGAGATTTTTGGGGTTTGGAAGTTCCTTGGGGAACAATGATGCATTTCTCCAAAATTTCTCCGAAGCTTTGATTCGAGAGGTGTTGGTTAAACAAGTAATTAGGATGGCTTCACCGAATTTCACCGAAAATAACACGTCATTTGTAATTTCTGGCTTGCATAAATCACTTAGTTTTTATTTCTCTGAATCAAGGTTTGTATAACTGAATATTGAAGTGTTCGTTCTGGTTACCAAACTGCGCCACATTTAAATATTGTGTTACACTTGGCGGCTTTAGTGGCTTCGCACGTTGCATCTCGAATTTTCGGCATCAAAATTATTCTCTGGTTTTTATGGATTAAAACAAATTGATGTGAGTCTATCTTTTCTGATCGCCGAATTGTTTGCCCACCTCTATTGTGGTTTATATCCTCGACTGCATGCGTCCGCATGCATGTGGGCTACATGTAGTCGATATGCCAAGCTAACATTGACTTCAGGCGCCATACATACACTTTCGGTCAAAGCTTCGGTTTCAGTGCAAAGGTAGGACAATCCATACATATACATAGAGTTAATAAGTCCAAGAAAGGCGGCTATTAAATGCTAAATATGAGTTAGCGAACCAATAAAAACCAAGGGGTAGAGGGAAGCTGTTTCGTCCTAGTTCGGGACTAGTGGGCAGTACACAACCACTGGAGTTCCTTCAGAGAAGCTTCCGGTCGCAAGGCAAACTGATGCTCGCTGCTGACTAGCTACTAGACGAAGTTGTCTGGAGTTGTGGTGAGACGCTATGGCTAGTGGTGTCCATCCAGTCGGGAGTGAGGATAAATACATGCCGGGGACATTGGCTGGTGGTTGTGTTAAAATCACGAATTAGTAGGAGTTAGAATTCACATGCCATTGAAACGGATCCAGAAGCTCAATGGTCTATGATCTTGCCTTGCAACCGTAAGGTCATGGGTTTGAACCCTCGTTGGGTGGTGCGCATTGCTGGTGAGTCCCAAACTAGGAAGAAACAGGCAGCTGTCAGATACTCTCTGGTTGGTTCCCAGTGGTTCTTTAACTGATATCAACCTGTGGTGAAACTTTGAACAAAGCAAATCCGTGCAACCTAACTCCTGAGAATGTAAAGTAATTGGTGCTCAGTGTTTACCCTTATATTTTGGTGCAGTGTTTACTTCACCATGCAGAACAAGTTTCAGCGACCGATGGATTAACATAAAGACCTTTACTCATGTCCCATTTCATAAACACCCAATCATCTCATGGAGAGGAAGTATATGTAGAGAAAACGCTGCTAAATTAGATTTAAAAGTGTATGATGGGAGAGAGCAGTTAAGTGCATGTCATTGAAATTGTCTGGAACTTAAATACCGTCGTTTGAACACATCTCTGTTAGTAAAGCTTTTAAACTGTTGGTTTTAAATATCTCTGAAACTACAGGTCACACATCACTGGTTAGGAACTTTTTATGTGTTTTTTGTTTTCATTTCAATTGACCTTATAGAATTAGAAGATAATAATAGTAAGTTAATAAAAATCCTCCGTACATGACGTGAGGTTTCTTTTTATCCAGTCACTTCGTTCGATGGATCCCATTCTAATCAAATATCTCACTATTTCGGGAATATTTTAGAATTTTTATCTCATAAAACTGTCTTAAGCAGACGTTTCAGATGATAAGGTGTGATATATATTTTGTTTTAAGTATTTGCACATTACCATTAAGTTCTAGGTCCTTGCTTATTTGTCTGATGAAACAAGCATATCTCTTACTGCTGAGGTGTATGACAAAGTAAAATGCTACAACCGCGGAACTACTTGATTGTTTAATGAAGTCGTAAATTTGAAGAGAAATGTACACTCAGTAGACTGTTGATTGATGTTAGTTAGTTGGAGGCAATCGGCAGGAAGCCTTGGTGGTGGTAGTTGGCACTCGTTAGCAAGGCGTATCTGTAACCTTGAAGGGATTGATGTCCCTTCTGAGATTCGAACCCGCGTCACCCGGTACTGTACTTAGATACGTTACCACTGAGCTATCCTGGCTCGCGGCTGACCTAGGTCCAAAGCTTCCTGCCAATTGCTTCCAACCATCTAACCATATCAACAATTCAACGTGGGCCATATTGGCAAGCCACTTTGAATGGTGGCCACATTGCAAACTTGACTGATAAAATTCAGCCTGTATCAAACCAATGACTGGACACATTACACTAGTTACTAGCTAGTGTCCAATCAAAGACTATTGATTCTTGAATACTCGAGCTTTCTCAACATCTTACTTAATTCAGTAAACGGTTAATTATACACTTTCAAGTTAAAATATAAGGTGAATACACCTTTTTTAAGTAATGCAACCAGTTTTGGTCAAAAGAAGTATTTCTGTTATTTCTAGTATGCCTAATGTATGTCTAGCTGCATAGATAGTGAAAGAATGTCTTTTAATAAATAAGGGCTATAAACTTTCAGGAGTACTACATCAATATTGAATGATAGTTGTTTTTAACCGCACTTTTATTACTGCCGGTAGACCTACGCGAAAGTCATATCTGCGCACTATTTGCTTTTTCAGCGGCAATATTCAACATTGGTACATTCAACATTCCGACCTAGGACTCTTGTTGCAAAAAAAATATCCGCATTTATTTTCCACGCTCAAAGAGTGTTATCATTCTACCCTGTTTATGACTTCTATATAGCGTTTTCTGTAACTCAAAGATATCTCCAATAATGGCATTGGTCTTTTCCAGATCTAGTTTGTGGTAGTAGTCTCTATAAAATTCTTCATTCTTCTTTATGTGTTGTTAGAAATTAAGTAGTAATCAATTATGCTAGTTTTCCTGTTGTTAATATACATTCTTCACTGGCTGACTAACTGAGTTTCAGTGTTGAATTGTGTACAGAAGTGCAGCAGTTCAAGTTACTACATTGTCTGCAGCATACAAAAGTAGAGAAAAGTGTCGTATCGTATCGTGGAAAAACATAATGAATTAGTGTGGCACAACGGTTAGGACTCTCGCCGACCATGCACATAGTCCGAGGTTCGATGCCTCGCCGACGCACACCTGATATCTATGGTCGGCTTGCTAAATTTGGACTACCGATATCACATGCTGAAAACTTCATACTTGTACCAAAATACTGTGTGGAATCAAGCTATAATAAGATAAAATAAAATAAATAGTGGATATGGAAAATCACTAAGAGTAAATGCTTATGCGCTGTTTCCAGACATATTCCCAACAGTTTCAAGCCATTGATCCTTAGGATCCCAGCGACCTCAACCGGTTAGTCTACAACTATCTATGTACCTTGAACAAACTGTCAGAGATTTCACAGACTGATGACACGTTTGGGTTTGACCACTCCTAACTCTTTTCCAACTCCACCATATGACCATTGAGGAAGGTAGTGGTTCGGCATGCGTAACACGTGTCCCAACCATTTCAGTCGATGTAACTTCACAACTTCATCGATTGACTTACCTTTCTTACCCAGCAATCTACACCTTACATCGATATTATTATTATTGTTTCCTTTAATTCCTAGAGAAACATAGGGCTTCAGCCGTGCGTCTCCATTGCGTTCGGTTCTCTGCTAGAGTCTTCACCTGGCTACATGTCTGCTCACACGTTTTCATCTCCTCTTCACATCACCTCCTCCATGTCACCCTTGCACTGACGACCAACTCGCCGCTTCCATTTCGGGCTCCACTCGAGCAATGGCTTGTCTAGTGATGTCACTTGATGGTTTCCTCAGAGTATGGCCAGCCAATCCATCTCCATTTCTTCCTGCCTATTTGTTTCACAATCGGTTCCTGCTGTGTTGGTTCGCTCCCAGAGATCCCTCTCTGTTGCTGATCTTTTCTGGCCGGACATCTGATCTTGAGTATTGAGCGAAGACAGCTGCTAGTGAAGGTCTGTAGTTTGTTTGAGATGCTCTTTATGACGCGCTGGCCAAGTCTCTGATCCGTACAGTGAATAGCACTGACTTCACATTGGAGTTGAAAATCCGGATCTTATTTTTGGTGATGAGTGCTGTTGGCCTCCACACAGACTTGAGAGTAGTGAAAGCTTGTCTCGCTTTTCCGATCGTTGCTTTGATATCCTCGTCAGTTCCATCCGCCTGTATTTGAAACGATGCTTCCCAGGTAGGCGCAAAAGAGGTTGTTTCTTTCAGGTTCCTTCCATTTATGCTGATCGTTGTCTGTTGTTGTTGCTGTTGGTGTTGACCAGGAATCTTCATCACCTTTGTTTTCTCTGTGTTCACCTGATGGAAGCCCTAACTTTGATGCTTCTTCTGCAAACTTGTTGCTTTAACTTGCATATCTTCCACTTTGTGGGAAATCAGGCATATATCATCGGCGAAGTCCAGATCCTCCAAGTTTTTTGTGTGAGTCCATTTTATACCTGTTTCGTCATTTCCCGCTGTTTGTCGCATTATCCAATCTACTGCAATCAGGAAAATCATTGGCGATAGTAGGCAGCCTTGTCTTACTCCTGTTCTCACTTCTTCGAAGGATTCCGTAAGTTTCCCGTTGTGGATTATTTGGCATGCAGTATTGTCGTACAGCTGTTGGATGAGATGTATAATTGTCGGTTGCACCCCATTGTAGCGAAGTAGTTGCCAAAGCACCGCTCGATCGACGCTGTCGAAGGCCTTTTCAAAGTCGATGAAGTTGAGATAGAGAGGTGACTGCCATTCCAAGCTTTGTTCAATGATGATCGGTAATGTGGCGATCTGATCAATGCATGACTTGTTTCTCCTGAATCAAGTCGATATTACTCACCATATTATACGACTCAACATGGGAGATAGAACGTGAACATCTATTATCAAAGACAACTGACTTTTTCATATCTTTCACTTCCAGTGACCATGTTTCATAACCATAAATAGAGGACAGAGCAAACTGTTGTTCGGTACACACGTCTTTTAATCCATAGGGGTACATCACGTCTACACCACAGATTGCATATGTTAAAAATCCCTCGTGGTTGTATTGAGACTTCTTCAGCAACCAATCTGTTAGAGGTAACGTAAATTCCTAAATAAGTGAAGCAATCAACACACTGTATCACAGTACTCCTTATCTATGGAGAAGATACTCTGGGAAGAGTAAGATATGTATTCAGACAAATTATCTAAAAGAACTAGTTAAAAACTATGATTATAAAGTATGCGGTAAATACTACCAGAATTTGTAAAGGACCGTATTCCTTGATTAGTGTTCTGTTTATCTAACCGTTAATCATAACTACTTTATTATTATCATTATTATTCCATTGGATTCATTGTGTTCTCAGCAGTCCTCTTTAACCGGCTGCTCAACTGTTCACAACCTCTCATCTCCTCCTCACACGATCTTCT